TGAAATATTGACATTCGACACGTATCCGATTTAGGTACATTGCTCTCCTAGAAGTATCCGTGCTTCTTATATTATACTTAAAGTTAGCATGTTCTCTCTTACTCCTCAGCGACTTTTTATTTTTTAAAATTTATTTACACCTGACCTCTATTTTGGGAAGGAAGATTTGTACGTACCAACTGGGTTATTGTCCATTTGGTGGTTATGACTTGTTGGTGAAAGTAATCGTAGTATAAAATTATTAGGTTTTGTGGCTCGAATTCGGTGTGCAATTATTGTTATGGCAGAAGTGAACATGTTAAAGTTATTTAGGATCAGATCAACTTTTTCTTAAACCAATTGGACATGCAACCCCAATTGAACCATTTTAAGAAAAGTTGAACTAGTTGAATGTGGAAGCCACAAGATTGCCATTTTAGAGTTTAAAACTGATATAGTAATTCCTTATAGACAAATTGGGGAATATTTATCCAATAGAAAATTGGGTTTGAAAACTCTATAAATAAATATGGGATTGGGTTGAGTGATCGAAAGAGAAAATATGTAAGGGGTTTAAGGGTGTGTTGTGAGGAGAGGGGAGAGTATATTTAATTCTTGAGTGTATGCATGTATATATCCTCAAAAGATATGATGTGTGAGTGGCTGGGGTTTTGATATCTACTTGTATATTCTCTTCCTTAATTCATAATAGTGGAAATCTTTATATCCATGGACGTAACCATGTAGTTAGGTGAACTATGTAAAATATTATGCTGTCAGTGGATGTATATAATTGTAAATTATCTCCACATATGTTTGTGTTGATGTGATGTAATGATGCTTTCACTATGTGTGATAAAGAAGGAATTTAACTCTCAACAATAATTAACCATGGGAGGGAGTTAATTATCCCCAATAACTAGTATCAAAGCCGAGTGTGGGTCAAACATGTGGTTTCGTCCTGAAGATCAGACCAAAAGATTGGTGTGAAGTTTTTTAGAGCAGAAGGTTAATTGTTAGGTGCTATGGAGATTCAATCAAAGTTAATGATGACACAAGGTATGGTGATGGTGTGAAGCCCATAAGGAAAAAAGTTTTGGGGACAAGTCAAAGAGAGGGTGCTAGTTCTCAAGATGGGCAAGTATGTTGATAAGGAATCAAGGGGTTTGCTCTAAGCTTGATAAAAAGCAATGAAGAGTGAAGAAGAAAAGTTTATTGCGCTTTGAGCCAGAAAAACAATTAATGAAGATACGTTGATTGATTAATGGGTTTCCATGCATGTGTCAGCAATTGAACACCAATGGGGATGATGGATGGTATTGGTTTAAGGTAGAGCAATCTTCGTTCAAGGATGGAATTGGTTTAAGGTAGAGCAATCTTCGTTCGAGGTGGAGCTATGGAGGAACTTGTGAAAACCGAATTCAAGTCAAGGTGGAGATTCTTTGGTTTTGTGACTCGAATTCAATGTGCGAGTGGTGTTCTGGCATAAGTGAACATCTTCAAGTTATTTGGAACCAATTAGACATGTAACCCCAATTGAACCAGTTTAAGAAAGGTTGAACTAGTTGGATGTGAAAGCCAAAAGTCTGTTATTTTTTAGTTGAAGACTGATATGGTACAATTCCTTCATGGCAAATTGTGGAATACTTGTCCAACAAGGAATTGGATTTGAAAACTCTATAAATAGATATGGGATTAGGTAGTGAGATAGATAGAGAGAGAAGATAGAAAAGATTTAAGAGGTTTAAGGGTGAGTGTTGTAAGGAGAGGGGACAATATGTAGTTTTCGAGTATATAGATGTAGTCTCAAAAGAGATTATGAGTGGGGATTTGACATCTAGTTGTATATATATATTTTTAATTCATAATAATGGAAATTTCTTTCTCCATAGATGTAACCTTAGAGGTGGGTGAACCATGTAAAATACTGTGTTGTGAGTGGATGTGTATGATTGTAATCTAAATTTATGCTTGTGTGGATGTGATGTGATGATGTTCCGCTATGTGTGATGAATGAAAAATTTAACTTTCAACAATAGTTGACCGTTAAGTATATTGGAGGGAGTTAATTATCCCAACAAAAATAAGTGCTTCATTAAACTAAAAACGTGTTCGACACTTTCTTGAAATTTCAAGTGACCAATGACTAACACTATGGGATCATTTAGATCACGGGAAGCCCAAATTATGCAGGCCGACATACTTCTTCAGGACAATTTTGATTAGCTTGTGTTGACTCGAACAAACCCATTTTTTCTGGTTAGTTTGAACATATTTTTATTTTGGCTATGGGACCGATTATATTGCCGGAAGGACAAATATAGTTACACATTTTTTGGGACAATTTTGGCCTGTTTGTTTTGATTTGAATGGATACATTTTTTGGGAACAACTTCAAACACAATTTTACTAGTTATATACCGTCAAATTCCGTCGCTTAGGGCCCAATAGAAGGTTGAATATTTGAGGATTTTTGTTAGAGGTCTAAATCACTTCATATTCTTCTAATCTTGATATTTAATGATTAAGTTATATATATATATATATATATATATATATATATATATATATATAACGTTTCGAGCTAGTGCTATTAATTATTGACTTCTTTTTAGTTCTCTTTATATACATGTATTGCAAACCATAATAGACATTCGTCAACAATATTTAGTATTTCCTTTCTCAAAACTTCGCGGATTATATTGCTCCTTAGTGATCGATCGTAGCTTCCATTTCTCTATTGTCTGAAATAATTATGTTTTGCATTATGGGATGTGAAAGTTTATTTTAAAATAATTTAGAGGGGTGAATAAGTTTTATTTAAAATTAAATTATTTTAATTTTATCAAAATAAAATTAATCAAATTAACAAAAAACAAAATAAATTGCAAGTATAATAAATAAAGTTTCAGAGGTGATACCGGGATTTTTAGCGAGGAAAATCAATCGGAAAAATTTCGGAGACTCTCATGCGATCTCGAGCAAAAAGATTTACTATGTTTGAAGTAAAGTATAATCGACTTTGACTCTGACTTACATCATATCATTCTACCAAAATTCCTGGTTTTGCAACTCCCCTGTTTAATAGCTGTTGACCTCAGTCTTACTCTTGATTTCTAAAGAAGGATCATTGATAGATAAAATAATACTGCACAAATATTTTGACCCCTTCAAAGTGTAATCGAATCATCCCTATAATTCAATTTTTATGTGGCTAGATATACTTGTGTCTCATAAAAACTGGTCAATATATCTATCTATTAAATGTTTAACCATATTGGAAAGGGAAAGAAACAACATTTACTGAAGTTCTTAGCATGCTCAATAAAATTTTAAATTAAAGAGAAGATGCAATGTAACCGTCATTTTGTAAGTGGTTTAGTGCTGAGTTTTAGATCTCATAGTGAACATTTGGGGATGTGGGTGAGAATTTGCCTAATCATATTTATTTATTTTTTAAAACTAATTAATATCGATAAAGGGCACCTTGAGATGGTGGGGTATCATTATACTAAAGACTAAGGTTAGCAGGTCCTCTCTCAGTCCACCTGATCCACTTTTTCTTTTTCCTTTGTTTTTGTAAATTTTATTTAATTTTTTTTTTTTTTATAATGAAAGTCTCCTTTTTTAGGGTTAAAAATAAGAGAGAAAATTGAACTCTACACATACTGTAATGACCCACTCCATCACATGATATGATATTGTCCGCTTTGGGCCTGATCCCGTACGGTTTTGCTCTTAAGTTTTACCCCAAAAGGCTTCATACCAATTAGAGATGACACACTTACATATAAGCACTTCACCTTTCCTCTACCCAGGCGATGTGGGGCTGTGCACCCGTAACTCGCCAATGTGGTAGCCTGTCAGTGTCTCTTGCACCCGCCCACGACACACCCGCCCACAAGTTCATCACAATCCACCCCCCTTGGAGGCCCGACGTTCTCGTCGGCACACTTCCAGCTGGGTCAGGCTCTGATACCATTTGTAACGACCCACTCCACCACATGGTATGATATTATCCGCTTTGGGCCTGAGCCCTCACGGTTTTGTTCTTGGGCTTTACCCCAAAAGGCCTCATACCAATTGGAGGTGACACACTTACATATAAGCACTTCACCTTTCCTCCACCCAGGCGATGAGGGACTGTGCACCCGTAGCTCGTCAGTGTGGTAGCCTGACAGTGTCTCTCGCACCCGCCCATGGCACATCCGCCCACAAGGTCATCACAATCGCCAATTTCAATTAATGGTTCAACTTTCAGCAAATGAATGAATTCTTCTCTCAGATGAAATGCTTATGGGATCAATTAGCTCTGATACCATATTAGAAATAAGAGATTGATGTAAATTGTAAGAGATATAAGGGAGGTTTATATAGGGACAATTATGAGTAATGAACAAATAATCTTAAACATATAGGGTAACTGTAATCCTATATGTATAAGGTAACTATATATTGTAATACAAGGTAGAAGATATTATTTAATATAGTAAGAATATATATTAATATATTCTAACATTGGTGCTTTTAATTTATATAAATATTTCTATTTTATAAAATCTATCAATGAAAATCTAAGAATTTGTCAACTGATGTGCACTTTAAAGACAAACTCACGTCATGTTGTGTGAATTATTGCATTGTTAAGTCTAATTGGTTTGGAGGTATCAAAAATCTTGAATTTGCTTGACCATTGAGTGAAATTTTAAGTTTGTAGTGTTCATCGTTCAGTGACAACTTAATTTTTATATTCAAATTATGTTATCTAATATACTTAATTAAATAAATATTTTATATAATAAAAGTGAAGTATTGAATCATCAAACATTTAACACTTAATTTGACAAATAAATGATTTTGTTTCAATGAGTAAAATCTACAAATTATTTTTTTGAGCAATCTGTTCAATCACTCGTATCTAAAAAGAAAGAAAGATTCACAATTCGTGTTTTTCATTCAAAGAAACTGATCATAAAATCAAGAATGATTGATAACTCAAACAGGCGATGCTCAAGCGAGTACTAACTTCCATGAATATTTGAGGGCAGAAACCAAACCGGACTCAGGATGGAAGACATGAATTGATGGTCTGGTTGATGAAGTGATCGAATGGTACTTCTTCCCAAGTTAAATATGAAAATGCCGCGATCATCTGTGAAGTATATAGAATTCGCTTCACATTGAGAAGCTGAAACACAAATGCAGTGATAATCGTCCACAAACAGTGTCAGACCTAACACCAACTTGAAAACTTCGAACCTGGTAGTGCACCAATGGTCTTCGCCAACACCATCATAACACCAACCAAAATTCCTGCGAATCAACAACAGATCACCCTGAGGCGATTTCACGAAATAATGACACCTAGAATGGAATTCATAATCGTGATTATAAGATGTCACCACGATTCTCAACTCGTGACGAGGGTTAGTATTAGTGTCACACGAGAAAATTTCACCAGTGGATCGCATTGTTAAATATATCAGGCCTTTGTGGCAGATAACATCGTCCCAATCTCCACCAAAAGTGGACACATAAGTCCAATTTTGACCACCTGATTTGATGAAAGCCAACCTTTGAGACTCGTCGTATATGACCGTCACTAAATAGTCATGTGGAGATTGAGCAGGGTCAGCTGACAATGCAACTTTAGAGATCGACGTTCGTCTCTGTAGATGGGAAAGTGGAGGAAGATTGATGATACCCTTTTGTTGAACTAAGGGATTGATGAGTGTCAAGCACTGTGTGTTGTTGTCTACAGTAATCAACCAACCTTGGGAATAGTCAATGAACCTTGTGTTGGCATAACAAGCTGAAAATAACACTTTTTTTAGGGCGAAACTGTATAAGGTTCGGTGACATTCTTCGTTCTTGATCCGCGAAAGCAGCAGCAGTGGAACTTTGTGAGAAGGTAGATAGAATTGAATGCGTTTCTTTTGATTGTAAAAATGGAGGGAAGCGTGACGCCACGCCACACAAACTGCACCGAACCGGTCATAGTCAGGTAGAGGAATGAGTTTTGCGAGAATACAATCAACAATGTTAATTGGGAGAGCTGTCCAATCTGGATTTTCAGAGGAGGACATGGACATGGGTGTTTCTCTTCTCTCGTCTGGATTGAAGGGCATTGCCATAATTTTTCTAGTGGGATTGATCGAACCAGCGTTGCTTCTTTTTCTTTTTCGAACCATAATTGAAAAACGATCCATCGACTTAAGTTTGTGGGTGGAGAGAGAGAGAGTAAGGAAGAAGAAGACTGAATGAGGAAAGAGAGAGCACATTAGACTGAATTTTCTTAGTTACATGTTTAATTACCAAGTGACTTTGGTTTCCTAATTCTAAACCAAGTGAATTTAGTTTCCTAGTTCTATTCGTACACTGACAAGTGACGCCGCCTCACAATCCACTATTAGAAACAAATTTATTAGTCGTCTAAACTTTAATAAATAAACCTAATAAATGTGGAAGTTCTTTTGTAAAAATAATAAATAATTCAATAAAGTAAAAGAATATTGTGAAAAAATTTTCCCAAAAAAAATTTTTTTTTTAATGATATGAATCCCAATCCATTATATTTATTGTGGGTTTAAATGGTTTAATGGTTTGGGTTGGGGTTGGGTTCTTGGGTTTAATGATATGAATCACAATGGTCATCCCATTGACAGTGAGAGATACCCAGGCTTGCAGTTTATATTTCCTAGCACTCGTTACTATAAGTAATATGTGACATGTTTTGTTCAGTATTCTAAAAATAACTTTCAAATAAATCAAACCAAAAACAGTTAAGAAGACAATTATTTGAAAACAAATATGTTTTAATTTACTCAATAAAAATTACCAAAAAAAAATTAACGAAAAAATAAAACATGTTTTAAATGGGTTTTTCTGACAACTAAAAAAGTTTTAGTACACTATTGATTTTTTTTTTTTTCAACAATGATGGTGGCAAATCTATAGACCACACATAATGTGAGTTACGCAGTGTGAAAGCTGTTAATTGATTTAATTGTGATTAACTCCTTAAATAACCTAGATGAGATTAATAGGTCAACTTATCCAATTCTTGTAATTGATTAAATTTGATCAATTAAACATCCATAATCACAAAGATAAATACTAAAAAGTAGAGCAAATAGAGTTAGATATCTACCAGAAAAACGGGTTTTAGGGACAGTCCAAACTGTCCCTAAACCATCCTTAAAAGTCAAATCCGTCCGTCCCTAAAAGTGGTGTGACAAAAAATCTTTCGGGACGGTAAAAAGTGACTGTCCCTAAAGGTTGAGGGCATTAAGGACGGTATAATAACCGTCCCTGATACTGTAGTATTAGTGACAGTAATGCCGTCACCAATACTCTATTTTTTTTATTATATAATTATATTAGAAATGGATTGAAACTGTCACTAATACATATATATATTTTTCCCTTTGTCATTGCTATGCTTCATTTGTTGATTTGAAATTTTCCTGAAGTCCACAACAACATAAAAACTATTGATATCAAAATCTAAATTAATTTTTATATATTACAAGAGTAGAAACTACATCAAAAACACATAAATGTGCACTATAAATTAATTTGTTCAAAGCACATTCAAGACTGAAGTACAAAAATGTAATGTTAGCCAAATATTTAACAAAAAAAAAAAAAAAAAAAAAAACAAAAAAACATAGATACTCAAATGTCTTGATATAACGAAAAGAAAATATAGCAGTGGTCGCTGATGGTGGGAATCTTGTGTTGTTGGCGACAGCTGATACCACAGTGCAGGTAACAGGGAATCTGATGTCGACTACTGATGCTAGTATTGGAGGATCCATGGTGACAAGGATAAATGCTCTCATGCACTTACGTAATTTGTTCCATTTGTTTGCATTTTTTCAAGTTGCTCTAACAATCCTTCACCTTTTTCCTCAGCATTTTCCTCCCTCGTTCTAGCAGCCTCTTCAATATGTATGAAACAAAAATTAAGTTGAGTGCTTCTACCACCACAACTAAAGAATAAAGTAGATGATATTCTCACTGCATGACCAAAACAACCTACAAACAAAATGAGCAGCTGTCATTAATACTTTCCAAAAAAACTAATTGTATCAGGGTTAGCGGAGTAGAATTGATTTCCTGGATTCCAATTAGTAGAAAATTTTGTAATAAAAATATATGAATTATTTTACTGTCATACATTTTCCCAGTAAATAAACAGAGTGAAAGTGAAAGTGAAATTGTTACTTGACAATGTGTATCATATTTGTTTAGGTTTTAACTTTACTATGTGCTAGTTTTAATCATTCAATGCATGTTTCTTTATCTACCTTGCTATGGCTTTTAACCAGCTTGTACACAAGAATAGGTCAACAGACAACAAGGTCATGGAAACAATGAAAATTGAACAAGTAGGTAGCAAGACTAGTGAACCTGAAAAAGTTAAGAACACAACAATTCTTTACTCCTGCTTCTTTAGCTTAGAAAATCCTGTGACAAGCAAGAAATTTTGACTTAAGACGAGTAAGAAACCATGAAAATAATACCAAGCACCATAACACTTAAAAAGCACACCAATTTGTAAAGCCATGAAGTAATGAATACTGTAACGTGAAGGTAACAAAAATAATCAATTTAAAAAGTTTGTCATATGAAAGTAATGCCAAGCACCATAACACTACAAATATCAAGGTAGAGGCTAAAAATATCATGCAATGTTTGGCACAGCTTCCACATAAAAAAATCCTTCACTATAGAATTTTTTGCAAGAATAAAATTCAAATATATATATGTGTGTGTGTGTTTACTAAATTCATATCTTAATTTATTTATTTATTTTTTAACAAATCCATAAAATTGAACTTAGACTAGGAGAAATTGTAGCCTCTACAGTCATCATCTTGGACATTAGTACATGTATACTTTTGTTGATCGAGTACAAATTTCTAGCTTAATATAAATTTTATTCAAAAGATTAAAAAACAATAGACCAAAAAATTTAATAAACTGAATTCCCTGGACTCATCTGTGGGAATGGTTTCTAGAAAACTTTATATATAGATTCATTGTTAATGCAATCAATTAATGTTACCTATGTTCATATTGATTTGCCTGACCAAGTCATCTCAATATTAAATGTTTACAATGACTACTTCTAGAGAATTTACTTAAGAAAACATTGTCCATTACATTAGGAGAAAAATTACTTATTTTATCCAGAAATCAAATTTGAGCTAGCCGTCTCCATTAAATATATCAAGCACCAATGGATTTCTACTACCACAATTGGCATTAAGATTTTTAGTGAGGAAACCCCAATTAGAAAAATAGACCAATTATTGTGGGAAAAACCATGTGTACTGTGCAATCCAAAGCAAAACGATCTAATATGTATGAAACAAAGTACAATGGACTTTGACTTAGTTTCACACCATATCGTTCTACCAAAAACCAATTGCTGACAATCTTCTGCCTTTGCGACGTCCCGTCCAACAGCTCTTGACTCCAAGCTTACTCTTGATCTCTGTAGAAGGATTGCTGGTAGATTAAACAACACTCCTCGAATGCTTTGACCCTTTTAAAGTGTAATTGCTTCACCCATTTTCATCAAGATCTGAATTTGATGTAGAAGAAATAGATCTGCTTTTCAGAATATTTGAATCTTCAATTATTCTTCAATTCCGATGAGATAGAGAACAACACAACTAAATCACTCATTTATATCTGTGTGTGCTCTCAAAAATAAAATAAAATAAATCAGATTTGATTTTCTAAAAAATATCTCTCAAAAGGCTTTCTCAAAATAATGAATTTTTGTTTCTCAAAGTCATATCTCAATGTTAAATAAAAGAGATATTATATAGAAGTTTGGAAGACCTGAGAATATTTGGAAACCAAGCTAACTTTGTGCATAGGATTTAGGAAGGAAGTCTAGGCCCAATAGGAATCAAAATAAACTAGGAAGGTAAGTTACCAAAAACAATCATAACATCTTGAACCGGTTCAGGAATTGCATATTGTTTCAAGATGGACAGTGAAGAATCCTTTGTGATTCTTGAACCGGTTCTGGAATTGGCTACCGGTTCAAGATGGCCAGTGAAGAATTTTCACAAAGTTAAACCTGTTCCTTGATTCTTCCACCAATTCGAGTTGGGCAAAATGTAAACTTCCTAAAAACTTCAAACTTCCAAAACTTCCTAAGTATTCTCACACACTCACATGCCTTTCTAAAGCATTGTTCTCCAAATCCCAGAGTGTATTAAAGCATTAACACTTGAACTTCTTCAAATCCGCTTTCGATCTTCAATCTTGAAATTTTGAACCGAAATTTTATAAATCGATCAGACTTGTTTTGACAACGAAATTAGCTAATTTCAATATATATATATATATATATATATATATATATATATATATATATATATATATATATCTCAATCTACCCCTTTGGCAAATTCGTGATTTACAAATGGCATTTTACACTTCATCTGCCTTAGGCTAGAGAAAATTGGGACCTTTTTATAGTAATGTTGTCATGAAAAGACAATATGTAATCTACCCAAGCAGTAAAAACAAATTACAATGATTATCAAAGGTTAATAAAACGGAATTCTTGTTGAACCTCATAAAGCTTCAACACTTGTAGCAACCTGTAATCTACACATTAACTCAACAAAACTACCTGCGTGTGAAGCTTAATCAAGAAAGAATAAACACAAACATAAAATAGCAATTAAAGCTAATAATGTCCAAAGTCAATGCAATGCAAATGCAATAATCAAGTGTTCTCCCCCTAAATGCAAAAGTATCTCTCCCCTGGAATGATAATACTCTCTATTCTCTTCTTTTTTTTTGGTCAGAATTTGACAAGGGTCTAAAGGAAGAAATATCTTAGAAAAGGAAGCAACCAACAATATAGAACTTGTAAATTTAACCGAGTGAAATATAAAATCCATAAAACTATATAACCAACACATATACAACCAAGATCAATTCATTGAAGTTACACAAACTTAGTAAGTATAATAAAATCATCACCAAGTCCCAAAACATATGATCTGTTAACTGTTTAGATTTGAGACAATAAATCAATGATATTACATATTCTTAGAAATCAAACGATCAACATGTGCAAAAGTTATATTTTTTTCTCTTTCTTTGTGCTCTATTTTTCTTTTTACATATTGGCAGCTTTCACGTTTATGGGTAACTAGCTTTTTCCCTTATT